TTCTGTTCAACACGAAACGGCATAACACGAAACGGCATAGCTCGAAGCTTTGATGTGTGCTGTGGCTTGTGGGGTGCCTTGTTGTAGAGGCCATCTGTCAAGAACACTTGGTAGAGGGCATCCTTTCACAGAGGCAATGAAAGTCCGAATGCCCTTTCGCACTGTGCTTCGCAAATGCTCTCTGTGCTCCGCGCCTGCTCCTCATCTGTTAAGGCATCCCAGTCGGCCGCCAAGGACTGCAGGGCTTTCGGTTCCACGGTTCCTCAGATCGAAGCATGTGTTAAACTGAATTGGCCCTTTCATGGTTATCTGACATGAGGTTTCTGCTTGGGTCTCCTAGATTTTTGCATGGGCATTCTTGTTGTACCCGGTTTCTTAAACGCGTCTTGACTTCGCAGTTGCGTCGCGATCTTAACCCAAGACTAAGCCGACTTCCAACATGGAAACCTACTGGGAAAGGGATCTGCTCCTGCAACACACACACACACACACACACACACACACACACACCCGTTCAAGTGTCTGGCCTGGTAGGTGTTAAGGGGGCGCTCTCTGTGGTGTGCACTCTCTTTGGGAATCGATGCCCCCTTCGTAAGTCGCACACAAGTTGACGCATGGCCCAAGCAGGCGCGTGCAGCAAAGGATGCTCGCGCGTCGCGCGAACTCCTGTGTTTGACACCACTTCCCTGGCCGTTGTCCTTTGACTGTGAACGCTTGCGCACGCGCAGGAAAAAAGATTCGATTCTACGGGGGTAAACAAGCTGAAGAAGAGCTGACGCAGTTGTGGCAGGGTGGCCCGTTTTCGCTTGAGGCTTTGTGCAGTGTCAGATGGTTCGCAATCCTCTCAGATTTTTGTTTTGGGGTACGAGACGCATGTTCGTGTTTTTTTGCGCGCCCTCTGCGACCCAAAGTGGTCCAGTATGTTTTGGGGGGAAGGAGACCAGGGCCTTGGGCCGAGCCCGAGGCGAACATGGCAGAGCAGCCAATCAGTCCCACAAGCTTGACTTGGACATGTAGTGCGATGCAGTTGTAGCTGTCTTAGTAGTTGCCGTGAGGCCCTCATGGCTCCCTTCATGGTTCCCTCTATGGAACTTGTATGGCTCTGGCTCACTTCACCTGTCTTGTTTCATGATTCCTGTGTTGGGAAGCCAAACCTCAAAACTGGGGATCATCAGTGTGTTGCCGGGGCCGGGGGGGGGTGGGGCAGTGGCGGCCCGAGCATGGGGTTTGCTCTCTTCTGTGCTCTGCTCGCTCCATGGCTCTGTGTGGGGCCGCAGCATGTGAGCCCCAGGGTCCCCCCCCCGGCAACCATCTATGAGAAGGGAGAGGGAGAGCCCCACAGTTTCTGAAGCTCGTGGACTTAGGGGGTGTGTGTGGGGGAGAAGTGGGAGGCTTGAGGGAATCTTGAAGGGAGTTGCTAAATATTAGTGCAATTGGCACGGCTAACCGATACAGTGGAAGAACCAGGAGACCCAGGAGATCCGGTGTTGGAAGCTTCCAATTTGCAGCTGAGAAGGCGCACAAGGCTGAACAATCAACATGCAGCATGGATCTCACAAACGCATGCGACAGAAGGATTGAACCTCACCAAGGAAACGCTGCCAAAGCAGCCAAAGAGGGAGAGAGGGAGTATCTGGGGTCCAATTATCCAGTTGCAAGCGCAATACGCAATACACGGAGCGGAATCTCTCAGGGTCTTCAGGCAACTTAGCAGGGGGACGGAAGCTTAGCAACCGGAATGTCTTACACTGACAAGTGACATGAGCGGATGACAGGTACAGCCAGAAACGCCTCACGGGCCTAACAAGTTGCACGTTACATTGTTAAAGCTGAGGCTCGTGTGAGACAGGCAAGCCTAGCCAGCACGAGATGGCTTGGGGTTTGCACCTCGAGGTGCAATGCCTCCGCGCGGCTTGCGATGTACCTCGCGACAGAGATGAACAGAAAGAGCCAGGAAAAGCACACGAAACTCGGAAAACCGCGCGATCTGGTGATACGGCAAGCACCGCCATGCGCCCTCCGTGGCTTAGGCACTCTGGAGTCCAAGTGGCCTCCAGTAGACGGCTTGCGGCTGCCCTTCCTCGAGTCAAAGCCGAGCGGCAATGCGCATTGCCACCCAAGGAGAGACAAAAGGCAAAAGGCAAAGGCAATGGCCTGCAATGGCCTGCAATGGCCTGCTATGGCCTGCTATGGCCTGCTATGGCCTGCTATGGCCTGCTATGGCCTGCTATGGCCTGCTGCTTTCCTGGATTGCCAAGCGGCCGACACGTCCCGCAAGCAAGCCAAACCTTTGAGAACGGAGCGCCCGTTCAACTCGCTGAGGAACATGGAGCCTCGCAAAGTGATCGCGCCGGTAACCTGACAAGGTCCACGTTTCTTGCCCCATCTTGTTGCTGTGCACGACTCATGCGCAGAACCACGGTTTACACGGAGCCGAGAGGAGGGCTCCGCAGAGAATGCTGACCTGCACGAAGAGATAGATCCTCAGATCGGGAGGTACAATAAAAAAAGAACAACGTCAACTCTTGAAGGGCTTTGCTTGACGATGGCCTTGGTTTACACCAAGGCTCTGAAAGACCTCGAAACCTTCCTCTTGAAGGCTGCATTGGAGCTGCCACACCGAATGCGGATTGTTCTCACCCTGACAGTTGGGCAAAGTGTAAAGAGAGAGAAAGAGAGAGAAAGAGAGAGAGAGAAAGCTGGATGCCCACATGACCCCCGATACCTGAAGCAACTGTGCGAAGTTGAACTGGTCGAGCATGCGGACCTCGGTGATTCAAGAGCTGCAGATGCGCTGTCTCGGAATGCTTTCGGAACAGCTGGGAGAACTCATTCTGTTCTTCTCAGAGCTGCCGTGGACACCAAGAAATCGTAGGCATCTCCCCGCAGGCAGGCCATGGACGGCAGGTAGGCATCCAAGTTGGAGGTTGCGTAGCTCAGAACCTCTCCATCTACCCTCTCTCTCAGAACCCTTCTCTCAGCCCTTCTCGCAGAACCCTTCTCTCACATGTGCACTGAGTGTCTGCGGTACGTGTTTTCTGCCTGTCTCCTTGTTCCTCCCCCTGTGCCACAGTCTGTGCCTGCTCGGGTGTGCGGCGCTGCGAGGGTGGGCAGAGCTTGGCAAAGTCCTCGCTCTTGCTCAGGCCGCCTCCCAGGAGCAAGAAGCCCGGGCCCCTCGAAAAAACATGTACTTCTTTCTAAAGAAAATGTCATCTCGGGCTCCTCTCGGGCGCCTTCAACAACCGGATGCCTAATTGCTGCTTCGTTCAGTACTTGTTTCTGCGACACTTATCTGTAGCTTATTGTCAACTCTTTCCCGCTTCGAATACGTCTGATGTCTCGAAGGGCTTGCCACCACATCACCATCTCCTTCTAGGGCTTAGGGTTTGCCACCCAACCTGTTCTTTGAGGGCTCTTTGAGGGCTCACTGATGTTCACTGCCCACCTGGAGGCCCATGACACGAAAATTTACAGAGTAAGCAAGAAAGGTTTAAAACTAAGGCACAGAAAAACACGACCTGCTGGTACGTAGCTGCCCCTCTCCCCACCCCCCCCCCCCACCGCCCTCTCTTCTCTCCTCTCGTCTTCCTAGTTCAACGTCGAGGGGCGGAGGGCAAGGATGATAAAGGCAGTCGTCAACTGCTCCGAGCTCATCGCTTTCGCTCCGAGGAACTCCTTGTCAGAGCTTCCAAAAGGACACCACATGACACCACACACCGCTTGAGCACAGCTTGGGCAGCGCTTGAGCACAGCTTGAGCACAAGCTTGGATCCAGCGTCCTGGATGGACGCAAAGGTCTTCTCAGACAGGCGAGCCTGTGGCTTCTGGCAGTCGACCATGCTTTTGTAGTCGTCCTGCTCTCCCGCAAACACACCAAGACATGTGCCGCAAATCACCCGCAAAGTGCATGCTGAATGCATGGAATGCAGAGGACGCGCCATTGGCAGGCGCGCAAGCGCAGTCCTTCAGAATCCAGATTGTGCTCAGAATGGAGAGGACGGCTCTCTCGGCCTCGTCCTGAACTCGTGAACACCAAGACCAAGCGAGACAGGATGCGAGGAGCCGCGAGGAGCCGCGAGGAGCCGCGAGACCGGGGCCTCCAATTGCAGGAGCGCGTACATGCCACTCACTTCACGCAGCTCCGGGAACTTCTCCTTGATGAGCTGGACCAGCTCCTTAGAAAGTCCACAAAGCGAGAGCTCTGATGCAGCACCGCTATGCACTGCTCAAAGTGCGACGGGGACACGGTGTTGTCCAGACCTGGCTGCAAGAGGTCCTCCACCAAATTCGTGAAGTTCGTCTCCTGAGTCGGCTTCAGAGCGCCAAAAAAAACAGAAAAGCTCACCCCACAGGATCCCCACAGGCCGCTACACGCCCAGTCCTGCGTGGTTTTGAAGCTGTGCATTCGGCCCATTCCCGGATTCAACAGATCCTAGGCTCTGTGCCAACACACGCTCGCGCAGATTCTCTGAGACAGCTAGAAAACGATGAGTACATGATCAAATGATGAGCTGGGCCGCTGCCAACTGTGTGTGCTGGACGCCGTCTTCGACCATCTCTGGCAGCAGCATCTCCCAGTTTGGGAGAGCCTCTTGGTTCTTCCTCAGAAAGAATGCAAGAAATGAAAGAAAGGAAGGAAAGAAAGGAAGGAAGGAAGGAGGGAAAAGAGAGCGAGAGACAGGCAGAGAGAGACAGAGAGAGAGAGAGAGAGATGAAAAAGATATGAGAAAGACAGAGAGAAACCTGGCATGCAGGCTAGATGCGAATAGGAGGTCAAGAGTTTCAGCGCGTACCTGGAACCATCGGCCCGGACACTTCAGTGACACAGCACACATTGGCAGCCAAGAGGAGAATTGGCGCAGCCCATTGGGGGCAGCCAAGGGGCTCGTGCACTGCCACCACTGATCCCGGCGAGGCCTGGATGGCCTCCGCCAAAGAACAGAGTTGACAAGAGAAAGAGAAAGAGAGAGAGGTGTGGACAAGGGAGAGAGAGCGTCAGAGAGAGTCAGAAAGAGAGCCCGAGCGAGAGCGAGAGGAACAAACAACAAAGAGAGCGGCGAAGCGGCACCTTCACGAACTCCGCCACGGGTGCTCTGAGCACCTCCACAGCGCGGTTATGAAGGTTGGGGGAGTACTTCAACGAGCAGAGAAGTGAGCCTTCGAGTAGGTCTTCGCCGTCAAGGAGGCCGAATGGGTCCTTCGGCGCTCTTCAACTTTCCGGTGCAACCCCACCCCCCAAAGAGCCGAAGCCCGACAAAGAAGAGGCGCCTCTCTCATCTTACGACTCTCAACTCTCACATTTTGACTGCTGAGTCTCAACTGATTGCCACCAAGGCACATGTTGGCATAGAGGCACAGCTCCTAACATACTAAGAGTTGCACCCTTGCGGCACCCTTGCGGCCTTGCGGCACCGCAAACCACTGCCAACCATCAATTGAGGCCAAGGCAGCAAGCCATTCATCAGACACAATCCGGAGTCCTTCTGTCAGAAGTCGCTGAGATTCCGGGGAGAACATGCACACATGCTTCTGCAATGTGAGGGGCGGCCTCCCTCCAGCGGATCATGCGAGTGGCTGTTGCGACCCATCGACACATCCTCGCAGCGCGAGGTGTTGCTCGGTTGATGCTACCCTTCTACACAGAAGGTCTTTGTGCAGCATATACCGGATACTTGTTGGGTCTTCTGCAGGGAGCTGCCATATTGCTATGCAAGCAAGAGGCAGATCGCTGCAAATGCAGCATGAACTGCCCTCCCAGCGTAATCAAGAGGCCTCTGCAGCAATGAAATGCAGAGCTGTTGTTGCAGTTCCTGCTAAAGTCTGCTGAAGCGTCTTTGGGGCCTTCCGCCCTCTTGCCCTGCTGAAAGACATCCTCCCCTTGCACTGAGTTGATCGTTCGGAACGCCGCACTCAATCGGCCAGAGATGCCCACACGGTCCTTGGGCAGAATCCACAACACAAAAAAGCTGTTGACTTCACGACGCTTCTGCACTTGGCGTACATCTGCACTTGGCGTACACCTTGACTTCGGAACCTTCGAAGACCAAGCAAGCTGCATCCATGAGAAGATGGAAGAATTGGTGCCTTATGTCCAACACACACAAGACAGCTTGCAAGAAACTCAGCCACAGTACTGCGCTTACTGCCTGAAGTTCCCTGAGGGACGTGCGTCTCCAACTTCTGACCGATCTTCACGATGTGGAGTTCTTCCAGCAGCGTGCTGGGCAGGAACTTGAGCGCGATCGGTTCCTTGACATCCATGGGGGAATCCTTGGACTCGAGAACATCGCTCAGCGAGTCCAGGAGCTTCCTCAGCACGGGTCTCCCAGAGCTCATTGAGATGCGGCAGAGGACGGGCTGTCGACAAGAAGCCCATGTGGCTCGGAGCTGACTTCAGTTGCTCTCCGGCGGTGCGCGAAAATCTGCGAACTACATTGGGAGATAAAAATGCGGTGGCAAGTTAAACAGGCCGTGAGAATTGCCGAAATCCGGGGGATTTCAGGTGCATGAAAGCAAAAAAGCGTCAAACAGTCTTCCCCCCCGCCCCCTCCCCAAAAGACACAAAAACACCGTGAGACTGAACCCGTTGGGTGGCCAGCTGCCGAGTCAGCTTCTCAGGAGCATTGGTCTTGAAGAGCCAGCGCTGCAGATCCTTGGCACTCGGCTCTGTTAGGCTCCTTGTTGGGCCCCTGCTGGCTCTGCTGTTGCAACGCTCGGCGCTTTGAGGCCCAGGCCCTTCGCACCGTATCCCTCTCCTCAACGTGTTTTCTGATTGTCAGCATTTGGGCCCCTTTTGAACAAGATATGACTTTCTTCCCTGCCTTCGCCTTCTCCTTCAGCAAGTTCAGAGTGCCGCCAATCTCGGTTGTGCCCGTTAAGCTTCCAATCAGCTTCCAGCAAAGACTTCTAAATTTTGCACGTGTCCGTAGAGTTGCTCGCGCCCCCCGTGATCTACGATAGGTCTGTCTGAAGTGAAACGACAAGGGAACCATTCAGCATTGTGTGGCTCCCCGAGAACGACTGACAATTCGCAGCCCGGCTCCCCGACCAGCAAACGATGAGTTTGGATGAGTTTGGTGGTTGGGGCAATGAGGTGGGCTTCCCGAAAGCAGAGCTGTCCCAGTGTGTCGTAATTGTTTTTGGCCATTTGCTAGGAAATCAAAAAATGACCCGGCGGCCAACTTCTGTTTGGGCAGCCTCAACACATTCTTCATCTCCTGGGACCCTTTCCCCACGAACTGGCGCCCAAGCAGCTCATAGGGCTCATTGGCGTGTCACGCAATCGCGCTGCTAGACCCCGAAAGGTGGGAACTTTCACCAGCCTTGAGGTTGGCCCCTTTCACATGCACATGCTGCATCATGCGCCTGTCCCCCCGCTCCCAGTTTCCCTTGAGGAATGCTCAGCAAGTTGTCGCAGTGGACTTGCATTTACTCTCCCCAATCTCCCCCCTCCCGCGACATTTTTAATTCTTCATCATTCACCAATCTATGTAGCTCTCCTCTACAACTATCATGCATATCGTCATACAAAATCCTTGATCAATTATAGCATTATCAAGCATATCAATATGAACTCTTTGTTTATCATGACTATCAACAACAAATAGTTATTTGTGCATTTGTTTTACCCCAAAAATGTCTCCATACTGGACGAATCTTGGATGTACCAACAAGATCCCAACAATCAAAAGATATGTTATATGTTAAAATGGCATTAAAACCACCATATTGCTGCGCCACGTTTCCGACGCTACGCCCGGAAGACGAATTATGGGGGGGGGGGTCTCCCACCAAACCCCTCCCCCCACCCGTCCCCAACAACAACCCATGGTATCCCCTAGCCTATAAAGGCGAAAGGGGAGGGGGGGCAGGCCTCAAGAATAACAACCTTCGACAATCACTCCTCGGCTTTCACGAGCGCCAAGGGGCCTTTCCAATCTGCGCGCCCAGCAACGGCAAGCAAGTCAGGATGACGGCCTCACATGGAGAGGCTGCGGACGAACCTTGCAACAGCCCACTGATCCCCCAACAGCCCCCAATGCCACGACCTGGGCCAACTGTGACCCCTACGAACGCCTTTGATCCAGAACAGCTCCGAAAATCTCATGCTTTTCCCCTTTACCACGTAGCTTAAACATAGGAGGCATCACGGATATCTTTGTCTAAAAAAACACGAAACTTGCACCACACCCTGGTGTTTTCAACAACATTCAGACTTCAGAAGAGCTGGGGAACTGGGGAACAGCCAGTTCTTGCCACGAGGCGATGATCACAGCTTGCTCGAGCTCGTTCTGGGGCTGGTATGGAAATGGGGCTGGCGTGTACCTTGGCAGGCTGGCGTGGGCCCAGCGACAAAGCCACAAAGCCACAATCGGGATCACGTTTCATAGCACCAGAGCAGTCTAAGTTGCTGAGCAATTGCCCAGTTGAAGCTCTGCCTGCAGGTGCACTGAGCCATGAACCCTCACTGCCCCGCGCCAATGCCAACGGGTCCGAGCAGCATGTACTGAAGGCCGGGGCTGATGCTCTCCATCCTTTTGACGTCCACAGTGCACACAAGTGCACACAGAAACATAGACTATCGGCAAAGATGGGTTCTGCCCACAATCAGTGTCTAGCTCTGCTCAGCTCTGCTGTGCTCAGTGTCTAGCTCTGCTCTGCTGCGCCTGAATGCAGCAATGCAGCCCAGGTGCCCATATTTTATGTGCCAACTTCTCGCTTTCTCGTCTCCGCAGTCTCCCGCTGCTTCGTGTCCGCCGGGAGACGGCGTTGTCTCGTCTCCCGTTGTTTCGTCTCCCGATGTGATCGTCCCTACGTAGAAGAGCAGGCATGCGAGGATGTGGTTCACTGCAAGGACTTGGGCGACGCATTGGAAGATCGTCAGGTACAACACAAATTTCATGTTGCCCTTCGCAGCAAGGCGGTTTTCCAAGGCGATCATCACCTGAGAAAGCCACACGGAACACTTCGGAAATATCATCGAGCTATTTTTGGAGCGTTGAATCTGGCTCGGGGAATCTGCAAGCAAGGTACGCCCCGGAACTTCAGGATCCGCATGAGGCGCAGCAGGCTAAAGAGGCGGAGATTGTCGTTCTGAACGAGCTCCAACAAGAGGACCACGTCCAAGGTCACCAAGCCCACCTCGGAAGTACAACAAAGCGGACGCGAAGCCTGTGAACACCACATGAACACCACATCTCGCCACATCTCGCCACATCTAATGTTGTCGTTTCGGGATCCCCGGCATCCAAAGGAAATCTCGTGCCTGAGCAAGGATGTTGCAAAAAATTGCCACAAAAAGGTGACGCAAGGCACCCGTACACCCCGAGCATCGGGCAGAGGTATGTAAGAGCCGCCTTGGGCGAGACTTGCCTGGCACGGTGCAGGATACATCTAGCTGAAAGAAGCAGAAGACCAACTTGCATCACCTTGCCAAGCCTCACCAAAACTACACATGACAAACCATAAAAAACCTAAGGAAGGGAAGCTCCATTTGCACATGAGCCGCAGAATGCTCGGGATGAAGGACATGCAGATATCGAAGCTCCATAGTCCTGGGCCGACCTGCAAAACAGGAAACGACTGACACGACTTGAGCAGACGCATTGACGGCGCTGATCCCCGACGCATGTAAAACACCCATGCCCGACAAGATTTGCCCAGATTGCAAGAAAAACACTGTACCATTGTGCACGCCCGACTCCGGCGGATACAGACAAAACAAGAACATGGTGCTTGCCGAACTCTGAAGGCAGCTCTTCAATGAGCCCAATGACAAATTCGGTTGCACTTCCTTCGGCTCTCCAACACGAGGCCTTTTCAAGGTGTTCAATCAAGCTCCCCATTGAACGTTGGGGACAAGCCCGACTCTACGCGGTTCTTCATCGCTGCTATACGTTGCTATGTTTGTGTTCTAGGTCGTTATCGCAACTTGTTGCAAATTGTTGGGGGGAAGCGGTTTCGGGGGAACTTGAAAGCACGCTGCACACCTGGAAGTAGATGGCCAGCGCTGTTTCCTGTCTGGCATCGGGCCAAGCCAGCGTCAGAGGGATCAAGACCGTGTCAAGCACGACGAGGAGGAGCGTGCAGATCTGCCAGAAGTAGTGTGCGCTGGACACCCAAGACGAGCCTCCATTTTATCGCAAGATGCAGACTCATGCAATAAACTTTAGGTGTTTAGATGTGTTGAAAGCGCTGCACTTCACAAAGGCTGAGGTCGCGACAGGTGTGAGAAAGTTCTAGACCGGCATATCGCACACTGCTGAATCTCTTGCTGTCTTTGACACCTCGCCAAGTGTTCTCAGTCTTTGTGGTCACAAGACATCAACAGCCAGTTGCGTATTCTGCTCTCAGGGGAACACTGTATAGGTTGTTGTACATTGCAATGGCTTCCTCCTCGGAGACAACGAAGCTCTCGCTCCAATCATCCTGAGCGATCAGACTCAAGAGCACGAAGAAAAACGCAGACTACGCAGACTACGCAGGCTGGCAGCAAACAGCTGCTCGCCAGAAAACAACTGACAGGGATGTTGAGACATTACATTTTACACCCTCGACACCCCCACCTTCTCTTCGCAAACCCTGGAGCAGTCCATAGTCTGTTGGCATAGCTCGCTACGGCGCATGCTTCACCCACAAACTGAAACACCTCACACGAACCCTTACGAGCAGTTGGCAGACTTTGTGAGCAGGCTATCCTTCAGTTCGCCGGTTCCTTTCGAGCCCCTTCGCGTTCCAAACACAAGTCAACCAAGAGCCCTTGGCCCGAGTTTCAGTGACATCCCTTGTCACGGTCAAGCATGTTCTGAAATCAAGAGGGAAGCGGAGTTGAAAAGAAATGCCCCCCCCCCCCCAACTCTCTTCGGCTCGGTGTCCAGCAGGCGCAAGCCGCCACCTGCCGAAACACTTGGCCAATCGAGAAAGAAGAAAAAAAAACACCAACATGAAAGGAATTGTGAGAGAATGTGAACTTCCCTCCCCCTTCCCTCCCCCATCTCACCAGCGAGCGCCTTTCCGCGAGGCAAGTGCAAGGTTCCCTTCTGAGCGCTTCTTCGCCAGCGTCGTGTTCTGGCTCCTCGGAGCAGCCTTTGACATGGTCGGAACTCCATTCACCAGCTCAAACTTCTCCTTCGCCTCGGATTGAGTCAGCTACGCTACACTGCCACGAGTATCAGCTCCACACTCAACTCCTACCTGAGCACTTGGGGAGAACAAAAAATCTGCAGCTGCACCTTACCAACACAGTAGCCCCTGTAACACTGGGGCAGCAAGTCTCAACAGCTGCAACAGCCATGATTTGGCGATAGCCGCCACCTCCCGGGTTCCTGCACAGATTTCGTCATGCTTACTGCTGCTCTGCTGTGGTGCTCGAGCACCATGGCGAAATCTGCCCTCGCTGCACGGGATCATCCAGATCACTTTCGTGAAATACGCCCGTGATTCGGGTGAGGCATGCTGCAGCATACATGTGGGATACGAATCGAAAACATGAATGGAGGGAAAACCTTTCCTGCAACTGATTTAGCTCTTTCCTTCCCTTCGTGGCTCGCCCTGTTTCCCGTTTCGTCTTGTTGAGCTATCTTATGATTAGTCGGTCTTGCTTTGTTGCGGCCTCTCCTCTCTCATCCTACCCACTACATCGGAAACAGGACAGTGCAGCGTGAACTTACGCCGACAAGAAGCTGCCGCTTGGCCCCTGTCAGGCGTAGCCTTGGAGCAAACACGATGCAAAACATCCAGCACAACTCGATTAGGACGGCAGTGGCCCGGCACATGCACATGCGTTGGGACACATTGAAACATTCGGGTGCAGCTGTGAAACCTTGGCCGACAGGCATGCCTTCTGCTCCTGGCCACTCGAGCACTGCTTTCGTTTTGTGTCCCCCAATAACACATATGAAATAAAAAAAGCAACCAAAAGAAGAGATCCCCGTCAGAGAAGCGTTCTCCTCCAGCACGACGACGCCAGAGAACACTTTGGGCATGCCCTGGATGGTGGCCTGCATGCCGTCATAGGTGCCGTTCAACGCCTGTGGCCACTTGAGAGCCATCTGAAGAACGCTCAAAATGCGAACTTCGGGGCACATCTTTGCACATCTTTGCACATCTTTGCACATCTTTGCACATCTTTGCACATCTTTGCACATCTTTGCACATCTTTGCACATCTTTGCTCTGCCGACTCGTGCTGACGCATGCTGACTCGTGCCTGCAGGCAGGAAGCAAACTCCTGTTGCAAGCGTTGGAGCTCCCGCACGCTTTCTTCAAGCCCTGGCAGGCCGATGTTGTTTGCAACGTGTGTTGAGTCATATGCTAGACTACCATGCAAACCTACAACACAACTTCAGCCGGTGAAACCTGTCATGCGGTCCAGGTGACATCATTGCGCGCGATCTGCACTGTCTACTTCACTCAACGAGGATGTCGGATGGCACTATTGGTCTCCTGAGCTTGCATTGCCTGATGCTTCGAAAAACCCTCGGTCGACATGGCAACTGACAAACAGCTGCAGGGTCGTAGCCGCCATGTCATACATGTGAAAACAGGCTTCTCTTTTGCAACATGTAACTGCGCATCCGCCGGCGCCGTTTTGTGTCAAAAGGTCCGTGCATGAGGAACAATGGGGTGGCGTGTCCCTGTTGGCCACGCTCCCACTTATTGTTTTGCGCGACGCAAATGCTTTTTATGACTGCAAAGTCGCGAACCCACTAAATTCCTGAAAACCATTCATTGTATGATTCGAGTGTTCGCTGAAATTCGGAACTGCCCTGTCAAGCTTAATTATGCCAGCGAAGATCCCAAACAGTAAGATTGTAGCAATTTCGGCCTAGGGTTTAGGGAGTTTAGGGATTCAGAAAGTCAGGGCTTGGAAACACAGCCCTAGAAGTTTGTCGCATGTCCCCTCCCTTTGGGCTCGTAAAGTGAGGGCCCTTAGAGGTGCGGCCTGAAAGCCTTAAACCATAACGTGCGTGAAGGGCCCAGGGTGCGAGGTTAGAAGGTTTCAGGGAGGCGTCTTGCTTGGTCCCTTGCGTGTGCGAAAAGACTGAGCGTGTTCAACTAGCATCCTGCGTTTTGGGGACCGGGCGTACTCAAATAACGATTTGGGGACCGAGCGTATTGTATTCAACTAGCATCCTGCTTTGCGGGACCCAGCGTACCCAGGTTTTTGGGACCGAGCAAGTTCAACTAGCGTCCTGCTTTTTAGGGGCCCAACATACTCAAACAGCACCCAAGCTTTGGGATTCAGAACACTGCAGAAGCAAACACATATCCCTTAGAGGTTTGTCGTGTGTCCCCCCCCCTTGTGCTCGTAGGGTTTGGTGAGGGCCCGAGAAGTTTGTCGCAAGTCCCTTCCCTTTGCGCTCGTAGGGTGACATCGCAAGCCCGTTTGCGCCCTGATGACCAAATAGCTTGCGCCATGGCGCGAGCTTTTAGGGATGGTGTTTTAACACGTTAAAACACAAGTTCTCAGGGTCGCAGGGGCAGATTTACAACCCTTATGCAGCCACGACCACGTTACCAGCACAGGGATAAACATCTCAATGTACTTCACCTACCTCCTTTAGGGAATCAAGTTGGGCCTAAGCAGGCCCCTCCGGCGAAATCATGGTGTCAAGTTGGGACAAGTTGGGCCCAAGAAGGCTCCCTCCGGCGAAATCATGGTGTCAAGTTAAGGACAAAGGCGTTGCAGAGAACATCCTCGAATATGAGGAACGCATTGAGCAGTACGAAAAGTCGACTGGAGAAAAGGTGCAGGAGAACTTGAAGGTTAGTACATTGATTCAAAGAATGAAGCCTGAAGTAAAGAGACATTTGTTGCTTAACCTAGATGAGAAGACGAAGTACCCGGCACTTAGGCAGTACCTCGTGAACTATGAGTCAACTGAGAAGTGGACCAATTCGCTTACGCAGTCCCAAGGAACACCCCATAGGACAACTACTGACCTAATTGACAAGGGAAAAGATCATCAGGGTGTTGCAGCCATGGATGTGTCTCAGGCTTGGAAAGGCAAAGGTAGAGATTGATATGGATACAAAGGCAAAGGAAAGAAAGGTGGTAAGGGTTCAGGCAAGGATTCAGGCAAAGGTGGTTTCAAAGGTCGAGGCAAAGGAAAAGGTAGAGGCAAAGGTAGAGGTGGAAACTGGAAAGGCCGAGGTCGAGGCTTTAGAGGCTACAAAGGCAGAGGAAAAGGCTACAAAGGGTTCAAAGGTAGCTAGAAAGGCAAAGGTAAAGGAAACCCGCATTGTGTATGGATTTCTGTTTTGCAGGAACAAGTCATGATGAAGCCCCGACGGCAATCAGCTTGGTTTGCATTGACTTTTGGAGTAGGAGCATTGCATGCATTCCAACTGCAACCAAAGGAAAAGGTTTGATCGAGCACATTGGTGAAGGAGTTACGTACATGAGCACTCAGCTACAGTACCAGACTATCAATTTAAAGGCAGACAATGAAGGAACCATGAAGAAGCTCAAGCAGATCATCCTGAAACAAAGGTCAGCTCTAGGACTAGGAACAACCCCTCAAGATGCAGTTTCAGGCCAGAAGGAAACCAATGGCATGGCAGAGCGTGCGATTCAAACCGTGCGTAGGCAAGCCCTCACGCTGATTCAAGGTTTGCAGGAGCAGGCAAAGGTACTGATAGCGCATACTCACCCTCTGTTCAGTTTGGCATTCAGGCATGCAGCTTGGATTCTGAACAGGTACCACAGGCACAGTGCTACTGGTGTGGTGTGACACCTTATGAGTTTGTCGCAGGAAGACCTTATGAAGGAACACTTTGCCAGTTTGGTGAGAGTTTGATGGTCTTGGCAAACAGGACTGGCACCAATCTCAAGAAAGGTGACCCTCAATGGCTGAGAGGAGTGTTCTTAGGAAAGACTGACAACAACCTCTTCATTGCGTGGCACATGGATGGCGTCAAGACCAGTAGATCTGCGAAGAGATGCCCCCAGCATTTTGACCTGGAAGCACTAACTAGTGTAGGAATCCACACTTGGGAAGTGAAACACACGACACTCACAACTCGTGCAGTTCCTAGGAAGAACCTACCAGGCCCCTCAGGAACACCGGCACCTGTGACAGTGGTGGAACCTCTACGAGATCAGGATGGCGTGGGAGCCATTACTCCTGGAATTCGGACACCTGTCATTGCAGGCGGGGCTAGCGCGCCAAAACCGTTCGGAACAGTCACCCCAAAAAGCACGAACCTTCATGCAATGGCGAAGAAAGCTAAGGAACAAGAGCAGCAGAGACAGCAAGAACAGCAAGTAGAACCCACAGCACCTGAATGGATAGACCCAGGACCAGACGAAGCAGGCAGTGATGCAACGCCTGCAAGTCAGCTGAGTCATCTGCAAAACATTGGGCCAGGATCTGATGA